GCAGTCAAGATTACTAGATTAGGGGAGAAGAATATCCTATTCCCGGCCATTGGGGGACGAAACACCGCAAGGCGTTGCCTAATTTCTCACCTTTATCCCTACGTCCATCGTCAACTCCTGTTCTCTGTATACTCCTAATGGCAATTCTCTAAGACCAGTTTATTGTCACTTCCCACTGACACCAATACTCGGCAATCACTTGCGAAATTTGATAGTTGGGAAATGAGGTTCCGTTTCGATAACAGCTGATTAGGTTTACCCAATGTTTTGTAGTCCGAAGACAAATCAGTGCGTCAAAAGCGGGATTCGTGGCTAGCTTCATTTCGTAGAGAAAGAGTCGGATGATATGATAGGATTTTTTAACTTGATTTTTTGGTTTTTATTTGCCTAAATTTTGTAATGAAGAGCTCCCTAATTCAATCACCTAATCCAATCATTTAATCACATTACTTAGTTTTAACATCCCATGTTCGTATTAACTATCCATTCTACTTCACTAACTTTTCTCCTCTTCTGTTGTTTTGTTGATGGGCTATGTTATGCCACCAACTCTTTGCTTCAAGACCGTTGCTTTATACAATCTTTTAAAAGTGAACCTACCTTCCGCTTTAACTGTTGCCGGAACAACCTATAGGCATGAACAGTTGCAGTGTCCTGAGGTTTCGCCGAAGTCTCGTAACAGGCCTAAGTATTATGCATGAACTTTCTTCTTATTAGCCTGCAAGAGGGCTGGGGGCTACCGGCATGACCCGAAGGCCGTGCCGGGGAGTTAAAGTACGGCCTACAGACACCACAGCCCCCACGCAGCTAAACAAAATCTCAAATCACTATACAGTCATACTCCCCATTACGGCTGATCCAACAAAGCAATTGCATAATCCTTTTTTTGCACATCACGCTACTCCCCGAGAGGAGTCTGGAATGGAATAGAATGTCCTGCTTCTTCCATCACTGCAGTCGGCTACTTGGATCAGACTTTAAATTTACAACAAAACATAATGCTCGATATTTTCCCTCTTGAGATGCCACTGTACCTGTCAAATGCTCCTATTATATATAAGTTTTGCAAACAAGATGGACTGAAGTAGCACAGAATCAGGGAAGGGTTTCAATTAAATTTGCTATATCTCAATAGGGGATTGATAATCCGGCGATTAACGGAAATAAACTTACATGGAGGCAGGATGCATGAAAATGGAGGTAAAATTTGGCATTTAGCAACTAAACAGTCGTTTTACGAGAATTAGAAGGAAGTGAACTTGTCAAAAGCGTCATGCCCATTGACAAATTCATCCATCTCTTTGGCCACTTCTAATGAGCGAAAAATAGAAGGACCCAAACGTAATTTAGTAACTCACAATTGCATAGGACACGTCAACCTCGAATACAACAAAAGGACAGAGCATTTCCATTACTTATAATACAATAGAAGCAAGAACTTCTGTCAAAAATGATCCTGAGTTGACATGGACGGATGTCATTCAGTGTATTTTAGGTGTTTCTGATTGTCTTCTAACGATCGGGTTATTTTGATTTTAAATAGAGTTTATTTGTAGAAATCAAAATAGACTTTCAAGGCACTGCCACTTCAACCGGTCGTGGGGCGCTTGGCAAGGCGACCAAACGATGGCGCATCAGAGAGAGAGGTCCGGAGAACACGACCGTCTACCCCGCATACGCGCACATTCACACGTCAGGGCTGGGGTAAGGACAAAGTGTGTTTACACTATTGTTATCGCCTGTCATCACTCCCTGAATTATTGATCAGCGTCAGACATTTGGTCCGCAATGACGTCGCCCATTCGCACACTTCAGGGCTGCAGTGCTATTGGTCGAACACCCGGTCACCTGATTGGCCGGGGCGAAAGGGGCGATGGTGGCGCATTAGGAGCGACCTCAAGGTTTAAAGGCACGCAATTTCGGGTGATTCGGTTGAATAAATTCTTCCTTGGCTTTGGATTTATTGGTGGTAAGCTAAGTCTCACTAAGCGTTATCACCTGACAATAGTTTCGGCTTCCACATTTTGTTTTTGTTCACCGCATTTTCGCACATTAATTATTGCACTTACATAAAACATGACTCGCCCCCCTAAAAAGCGCAGTTAGTATAACTTGTACCTTTTAAAGACTCGGTTATTTTCCTTTGTGAACACAAGTTTCTCGTATATCTAAGGAGGCGAAACACATGTTCACTAACCTTTCTAAATATTGGGCCTTAATTTCAGTGAAGTTGCTTTCGCATTCAAATGCGCAAATAAAATGATGTTTATTCTCAAAAATGAAACAATTTTATGAAAAACGGGTTGATTTGCTTGTTCTGAAATTCGTAATTAGTTAGCAGAATGAGAGGGCTGTTGTTTTTTCAATTCCTCCCTAAATTCTATATAAAACTAAGTAATTTCAAAAACTCGTTTCCTCATTTTTTTCACGGAACCTTAAGTCGATGGTTCTGCTAAAAACCCAAATACTGTATAATCAAAGTGACTATGATGGCTATCTTGTCAATCACTGCATTAGCAGCACCAAATATGGCCATAAGCGTTGCTTGCCCCTGTCAGATACGGAGGCCAATGTTGGGGGTTAAGGGGGTCACAAATAAATCATTTATGCGATCATATTTTGCCTGTCAACTCGGCCAAAAGTGATAGGGCGGTAGGTCAGTTTGAACTGACCGGTGTTTCTGCAATTAAGAAACTATCCGAGCTTAAAGAGGCGCAGTTTTCTGAGTGCCTGGATTGTGGTTAGCTGTCGGAGCATTCACCATTCCGTCTGGATATTTCTAATCTTATTTCTTTAATCGTAATTGGATAAGCAAAAAACTAAAAAAGGACTTCAAAGTTAGTGATTAGCAGATGCAAAAACGAAATTATAGTCCGACTGTAGAGAAAAAGTATTTTGGTAACATTCTCCCCTAAATCTAATCTTATAAGCTAATTCGAGTGAAGAAAGCTAACTACTCTAGTAGGTTTTCACCTCACAAAAAACTTGTTTACACTCTGAGAGCTATCTCAATTCACGCGATTTAGGTTTATTGTCGCCCCAATAGTTGTAGCATAGAGTAAAACAGTCCCATTATATGAATTTCGTTAAATTCATCCACTTATGAAGAGTGACTGATGTCTCCCTATGTGACAAACACCATCCATGCTGTTTTCATCAGTATACTGTCTTCATGAATATGCAATCTTATTTAAAATTTTGTAACATTTGACCCATCCGTTTGCACAATCTTTCTGACCAGTAGAACATCATTGCAAAAGTTATCCTTTAAGTCATCCAATCGTTCAAAAAGTCGCAGACTTTCCAAAGTTCCCAAAACCGGTTTTGAAATAAAAGAGATACAAGTTTTGCAACAGTCGGCATGCCCTTTGGTAATTCTTGACCTTGGCCACGGTGTCCTCGATTTCATGTTTCGGAATTGCTTCACCTCAGCATGAAATTCGCACTACTGGGTTGTGATTACCCACCTAACAGCACCTCATTTTGAAATTCCTCAGATTTTCACTGAAGCCATTGATCTTACACTTCGCACCTCTCCATCTGGCATTTATACCTGAAGGTCGGAGTGATTCTGGCGCACTTTGTAAACAACAAAATCTTCGCACGCAAATGTACACTTATTATTTTCAACTCAGACATAAAAGTTAGTTTCATCCGGCCAAACTCAATACGTAAATAAACAGTCTGCAACATTAAATGTGATCATAAAAGCGCAGTTCATTCCCCAACATATGGTTACCAGGATTTTCAACAAATTTCCTGTCTGTTTGGTCAACTGCGCACATATCTTCCACATTTACCTTCACAAATCAAATAGGTTATTAAACAAGGTCTTTTGTTTTCGATAGACAAATAAACGGAAAAGGATGTATGGTTGTTCCCAGGCCATTCCTGTCAATATGAAATTAGTGTTTCTGGAAATTCATGCTTTAGATGTTTTTTTTTTATCATGTTTCTGTGCGGTAAAAAAGGTATTCATATTTCTTATCTTGCTGCTTAAAAAGAGAGCATTTCTATTGGCCGGAGAAAAATCGATACTTTTTGACACTTAACCAAGTTGACTGTAAAAGACATTGCATGTCATTCCAACAGCTGATGGGACGAGAATGCCCCGAGCCTACTCTACTTCCGCTTGAAGACAAAAAACCCAGTCCTCACTTTTTTCCAAGATCAGCAATCGCGGCTGTCAAATTAATCAACTTCTAACTGTTACCTTATTCTTAACTAGGAGGTTAAAAGAAACGCAGGGCAATGTCGAGTGGAATTTGTGCGAAATGTGCAAAACCTTTCTCAGCTGGTTCGATTTTGAACGCCTTGGACAAGCGATGGCATCCGGAGTGTTTTGTATGCGCGGGGTGCAAGCACCAACTGGCCAACCAATCTTTCCACTGCAAAGACGAGGTGCCCTACTGCGTTAACTGCTGGAAGGAAAAGTTCCAGCCACGATGCTCAGTAGGTTAATCTGCTAGTTGCCATATTAATTCCCCACATTTTTTAAACACTAAACAACTGTGTTTGGTAGCTTTGCGTTTTTGGAGTTAAAACGTAACAGAAGGTATATATATCTGAAGATAGGCAAAAAGAGTTGGCCTGTTGTGAATTTTGGCCATCTGTTTTTTTCAGTGGGTGCTTCAAGCAACCATTGGGTCTTCTAAGACATCTAAAATGATTTGATAGAAATCAACATACCATAATTTTTATTTTGCAACAAAAGGTGGCGTTACCAATTCTAGGCGCTGCCGCAACAATGTGGGATAACCTGTCTGTACAGGATGATACAAATCTTGATGCATTACATGGAGGGTGAGATGGGTAATAGTTCTCTACTCCCAGCGCGTTACATGAAAGCATTAAATATACAGAATAAATATCTGAATAAAGTACATTCTTGCGTGAGGTATTCCATTAAATAAGTCCAAATTCAGGCAAATTCGGAAAATTTGCTTTTACAAAATATCCACAAATCCCCTTTTTACAGAAACTATTCGGTTGCAGTTAAGTTAAGGACATGGAAAGTGAACCGCAGGAGTGAATGAAATTGTACCCTTACTGACCGGATTACTTTATTCTGTTATTTGACTGCATTAGTCGAATTTTCTGCAGGGCGGATTAACAATTAGTAAGAGAGCAAAACGAGACACTGCTTGCAAAGTAATTTAGAATGTGAATTTCGGCATCCCAGAAAAATTGAAGTACCTGTACTTTTGCACTAAACAAAAAGGAACATCAGCATGTGGTCCAAAGAGATTGTCCGATAAGTTTTGAATAAAAACCAAAGGCCGCATGCTCTGATTTTCTCACTACTTTTTATTTTGAATGAATGCGACATATCTGAACCTTCAAATATGATTAAGCAGCAATTCACTCGTTTAAAATAGTGAGTTCAAAACAAGCAACTAAGAGCAAAATGCATTTGTTGCCACCTTAAAGTGTATTCTTACTGATGTGAAGGAGAGAAGTAGGTACTGTTTCTACAAATAAATAACAGGCGCAATTCAAAACATTCTGTTCGAAAAGTCGTTCCAAACTCTCCTCACCACCTCAAGGTTAATGCCCACTCCTTAACTGACTTCCTTCAACAAAAATTACATTTTTTATCTTCTAAGCAAATCACAAGAATTATTTTTTTCTAAATTTCGGCCATTCGAATTCGTTGGTAAATTCTATTGTCAAATGCTTGCATTATTTTAATGACTTCTCCAAACTCTGCTTTAAGACTAGTTCACTATTAAGCTAGGCACTTTTTAACAAAAAACCCGGCTTCATAATTAAAATTTAGAAAGTCTTATAAAATATACAATAAATAGCTTTTGTTAATTATGGAAAATCAAAACGACCCAATTAGCAAGCGTGGCGATTACTTAATTTCACAGTTGAACAGTAGGAACCTTTATTTCATTTGTTAAATGACGGTGACTGGAAAATCAGACTGAAAGCTGAGCATACACTGCCCTGAGGTGCAAACTCTGATTGGTTACTTGTAGAGTTGCGGCGTGATCATTGACCCTTCGGAGCAATACGTGCTGTACGACGACAAGGCCTATCACAAGGGCTGCTTCAGGTGCAGTCAGTGTCAAACCCCCCTCAATGGAAAGCAGTTCTGCATTGTCAACGGCCAGTATCTGTGCCCCGAGCATGTGCAATAGGCTTGCGGACCTGACCTAACCTGACCCACAATCAGCATTCTTGAGTCCCACTCCATCACCATATTCTGCCTTACCTCACCCACAACTTTCTAGTTTTCGCATGCAACTTGGGTCCTATTCCTCTCTCTTCTAGCTGAATACCCCTAAGATCTGGCACGAGAGAGCTGGCTAGACCCCAAATATCCCCTCTCCAACCCGCGCTCTTATCTATTTAAAAGGAGAAGTGAATAACAATTGCAATTATTAAAGCAGTCACTTAGAGCTTTTTCACACGTGCCTTCTTACACCAATTTGATGAGCTTAGCTGGTTGAGAGTAGATTAGAACTTTCATTTGAAAAAAAAAACATTCCAAGGCATGCGGTATTACAAAAATGCACCAATTTTTAACTCTTGGGGGACTTTTATAGTGAAACGAAACACTACAGTCGTAATAGCAGATATGCGCAGTGGCAATTAACCCCAACGAGAATGTGAAAATGGGCTACTTATGCAAGCGATTCGCTAGTAGTATAAATTTACCAAATAATGAGCAGTAGAGGTTAATAGTATTCGTAGTTGAATTACTGAATTTCAATGGATTAGCAATTAGTTTAAACTGGGAAAAGGAACCATTAAGGGGCAAATAAAAGTATTTGGGTTGCTAAAAAATTCTTGACGTCAACCCACTAAACCTAAAATTTATTTTAAAAATATTTCATTCCTGATATTCAGCTGATGGAAAATGACACTGTTCAGTTGCCTTTAAGGTACTTAAAATGTCTGAATAAAAGCGCGTCGTGTGGCTTCCACCATAGTTTTGTTACAATACTTCGGTGTAACCCATGGGGACATGTAAGTTATGTCGCTACTTATGAGCGGGGATATGTGTCTGTCTGGTGCTGTCCTCTCCTTTATTGCGCCTGCCGCTATCTCCCTCCACCTCCCGCTTGAATATCACAAAACTCCGCTTCAACAGGAATTATACACTCTAATCGACGTTGCAAGCATTACACAGTTCCAAAGGGGCAGTAAGGGTACTTCCCGTCATTTTTTTGACAAAAGCATCCAGAGCGGGTGTATTAGTTTGCACTATTGGCTAGAGACGGTTAAAATAAAAATGTGATTTTGGTGTTGTAGCACACAAATATAGATATGTATGCTGTGTTACAATTCTTATGAACTGTTTCAGTACACAACCCAAACACAGGATTTCGAATTGTTTACTGGTTTACTTGGGATGGGAAGCGACTTTTGCATTTGGACAATTAGCTAGGCTCTAACGATTACCTTTCCGCTCCACTCCACACATACACGCGTTAATGCTTCTGAGGCACCACTTCATGCCTAGACAACTATGCTCGCTCTGAGTGTATGTGGTGGAATGCAGACGCATTAATTCACTCCAAAGCGCTAACCATCTGAAGACCGTACAGTCACTCCACCAGACCCCGTAAGACATAAAAATATGTAAGTTGTAGGTGTAGCAGAAAAACGTCTTTTCTCTGAACGTAGTAGCGGCTTGCGGCTCGGTGGGAAGGAAGCTTACCCAGGAAACACCTCAGCCCTTGAATCGCATGCTGTCATATAATTTGGTTGTGAGAAGATTTGACTTTCAGTCTGGATATGAGGGTTGGAAGGAGGGGGTGGGGAGATACTATTTAAGCACATCACGTAATCTTATGAAAAATGTACCACCCAACAGGGCGATAATTGCTGCTAGTGATTCACAGTGAAGATTTTTATTTAATCTCGGTAATAGCAAGAGGTAACCAAATGCTTACATGCAAAATCGAGCAGACAGTGGTTTTGGGAACAAAAGCGAGGTAGGAAGTAAGGTTATTAGGGATGGGTTCAGTCTTTGGGATTAAGGTCAGTGTTAGAGTAAGCCTTTTAAATAAATAATTTTTTTGTTGAAATAATGAACAAATTCAAATATTTCAGGGGAGAAGAAAAATGAACTGAGGCAAATATGCATTCCATCTACTAAGTGGTGATATAAACCGGCAGGTGTCTTAATTGCCATAGCGGATAAGCTGAATGAGGTATTTCTGAATCAAAAGCAAAAATCCTTGCGCAAAACAGCTACAAAACCTCAAAATGCAAATAAATAGTTGCATTATTTTGCAGAATATAGTTAAAAATATTTTGAAAACTTGGTCTAAGTAAGGCAAACCAGCTTTATAAATGGTGTTGAAAGATTTTATCATTATCATGATAAGGTGTGATTATACTTAATACGTATCTAATCGGAGTCGGTGAGTTGTTTGAGACGGTGTCACTTAAATGCGCGATAATTGGAATTCCGCGGCTGGTTAACACTCAGAGTTTGGAGGGGAGGGGGAGTGAAGTAAATCCTCTCTTTCGGGAAAAAAATCTGATCGAGGCAATTTAAACACATGATTCTGTTAAGAATTCTTAGTAAAATAAGACCATATTTGTGGGAATTTCTCCAAAGCAAGACCCACGAATAAAATAAGGATTGCGACATTTGGTACTCACTTTTCAGACGTATAATGCTGTCTTCGAAATAAGTCCCGAGATTTTTTTAAAATTCGCATAGAAAAGTTGTCCACATTTGAAACCAGTTTTTGCCGTTTTCATTGAGGGACATCACTCTACTGCAGTGATTTGATGCTTGATGTATTGCGTAGTTAACGACGCCGACTCTTCAGTTTCCTTCATTTGAACTTCCCGCAACATCTATGTCCTCCTATTCCTATGCGTTAATGCCGTCCTCTTTTATTACCTATACAGCTTACAACGATCCCAGCCGAGGCCCAAATCGCCCAAACCAAAAGTGCGGCCATCACAATTTCTCTGATCGGCTACGAATTCTTCAAGTTGTGAAAGAAAGGCATCTGCGGAGGCGCACAGCAGAAGGAATCTCGAAGCCAAGTCTACTTTCGTCAGTCATCCCAAAATCGCTTTATACAAGAGGGTAATTAACCCGTAAATTTACTCGAAAACACCCCGGATGGAGTTGCTCCTGCGCTGCGTACCTACATATATACATGTTAGGGGAACTCAAACAGACTTTGGCCACAGCGTCAGGGAGGAATGGGTGTTGAACGTAAACTCTGTAAAGGTACTTTAAACTATGATCTTGATGAAATGGCTCTGACTTGGGACAAACACTCCCATAAATAAGGATTGGCATACGAAGCGCACTTTTTATCCCGCCTTGGACAGTGCAAAGCATCCTTCAAGCCGTTTCACGTTTTAATGGAAACGAGAAAATGCGTCACTGACAGTGGGGTCATGTGTCTTCCCTCTTCCACAAAAACTCAATGTCAACCTTTTCTCGTCCACTGGCACCTTTTAAGGTTCAGCGACGTCACAACCACGGAAACCCCGGAGATGGCGCTTGAATATCGAAGGGGCCTGACACAGCAATGCTTGTTTTATCGTCCGTCCAAGTACCTGGGATCTTCAGTCCATGGGATTCGTATTTCCATTTTTGCTACATGATCGAAAGTCCACGCCTTCTGTCGCAGCCACTTCCACACTAGTGTGGCTTCTTTTGACGTAGCAGTTAACTATGAAGGCTACAAAGAATGCACTCCTAAAAGGCCTTGCTGAAACCAGAGAATTTGTTGATTTAACAGTGACTTCTTCTGCGGAGTTGACTATCCCCGACCCCTTTAAAATGGCCTTAGTAGTTCCTTCCAATATTGTAGATACATTAGTGACACATCCGAGCACTCAGATTGGGGAAAACTGCGTTTATTTTGAATCATCCAACCAAAGAAGTGATTTTTCATCCTTCAAATGCCTATATACCACTTTGATTGCTACATCCCAAAGTATGTCTCTGAGAAGACCCAAACTTCTTTGAACCTTGCTATGCCACTGCTCCACAGAGGGAGGAGGATTTGCTCAAGTCGTGTTTACTTCGTTTTCAAGAAACGAATCTCAACTTCATTTCTGTAAGGTTATTTAATTCCACGAAAAAAGATATAAGCTAATCAGATGGTTAAATCTTGCCTCCGACACGTCTTGAAACAGTTCAATTGTGTGGCAGCGATAAAACTTGGAAATAATCCTCCTGGGTTTTTACAGAACTATGAAAAGCCCCGCGCTTCTACCACCCGTTTGCTTCCAAACTGTCAATCTTAATTTTCATGCAGTTATCTGCTGTCAAGACGAGTTGACAGGAACCCTGAACTTAGAGAAAAATCCCTAAGGGAATACAAGGGAGGAGAGCAAGGCAAGGTGTTTTTTCCTTTCCTTCCTCACGTCTAAATTAAAGCACAAATCTCCGTGTCAGTGTGTAGTGAGAATACCTACATTTGCAGAAAGCTCATAGTTTTTATTTTGGGAAGTGGAATTTCCCTGTTCACGCCGAAGGATTTGCATTCGGTGACCCATCATTCCTCCACCCCTGATTTCGTATGTGCTATCCTCAGGGTTATTAGGGAACAGATAGGCACACGAAGGTTGAGTGTGCTCACGTACCCCGGGGACTCATCCACTCTACGCCGAAGTGGGACATCAAAGACCTCTACTCTAAAGTCTTTATCATTGCAGCCGAGCATCTGTGGACATTAGCCTTCTGTGTACCTCATAGAGGTGTTAGTCGTGAGGTATGAAGCGTCTTCCTGCTTTGTCTTTACATGGCTGGGGGTAGAACTATCTTCCGACTGGTGAAATAGGTAGACTTCATCTAGAATTGGTATCCAATGTACCACATCAAACAGGAGTCTAGTCTTCTGCGGACTAAGCAATGTGTGCTTTCATGGTGTAGGGGTGGATAGTGGGAGTCGTTAGGTGATGGTAAAACAACAACACATTTACCAAATTCTCCCCTTTCGCTGGTACAATTTTTTGGCTAAAAAAGATTTTTTCTATCACAATTTGATGTTTTGCAAAGACTGGCATCTTCTCGAGACGTGATTTTACACTTGATGTTTCGTGTTGCTGACACCAGTGTGAAGGATTCGGTTCTTTTAAGATCTTTGTAACGTTTACCGCTGTGGCGCCAGTTGGGAAGGCACGCGCGCGGAGGGAGCGGTAGCACGAA